AAGCTTGCCAAAAGACTTTTAACTCTTTAAGAAGAACTTTCTTAATAAAAATGCTTGGACTACATTCTGTTGCGAGGAAGAAAAAGATATATTGCAATGCCTAGAAAAAATCAATAAAAAAGAAGAAGAAAACTTTATCGTCATTTCTTTGGAGGTGAAAAAATGAATGAACTTTAAGAATGTGGTCCACAAAAAGATTCTTCAACAAAAAAATGAAGATGACAAGTCTTTATTAATAGTTACCCTAGTTGATATTGATCAAAATTACTCACATCAAGAGATAAAGCTACCTTATCAAAATATAGAAATATAACAAATATTCATATTTATAATCACTCACATTTTCAAAGAAGAATAAAAGTTCGCATTATACCTCATCAACAGTTTAAAAATTTAATGGAAGAATGGATGATTCATATTAATAAAGAAACTAATAGAACTATCTTCACTTAACATAAACCAGATGATAAAAAAATTAATCAAATAATCAAGCAGCGCAACTCTCAATCTCTAAGACTATATGGTACTTATAATACTACTACTAGTCTAATAGCTCAAGCAGTTAGACATACCAAGGCCAAAACATGCTTTACTTCCAGAAATCCACTTACACTTAGAAAGCGAGGTTACACTGTTATATATTTCGCATTATCACAAAATCTTGAGAAAGCTTTAAAGCAACATATCTTCATGCATGGTCATAAACTTACATGGAGTGCTAAAGAACATTTTAGAAAAGAATAAGATCTTTCCCCTGATAGACAATATCACAAAAAGACTTTAGAATCAGATAATAAATCAATACAATTAGATACTAAACAAACAGATAAAGGAATAGGGAGAATTGATATTAGACACAATAGAAAACCAAGATGAAAGTCTAACTCTAGAAAAGAAATTGATGAATCCAACAATGATACGAATGAATCATATACTTGGCCTAGGAGCAAACCAGTCATAAATACAATCAAAACAAGGCAAGAACCTAGATCCAAAAGAGCTGGACATGTTCGACTAACAGGTAGTAATAACGAACCCATCAACTCAAACAGGAGATGGAATCAAGGGACTAATCAAGAATTCAAAAGTTTAAACAGCTCAGACTTTGAACACAATAGGTTTATTCCTTGGCAACAAATCTTAGTTAATCTGGAAAAAATGAATACAAGAATTAGTAGAATGGAACAACAATCCAAAAAATATTCTTGACCAGGATGCAAACAAGAAACTCGATGATTATAAAATGCACCAGTCCAACTACAGTTCCCTGAAGAAGTACTGGACTCCCAAAAGAAATATAGTTCTTTTCAAGAAATTAGAAATCCAATGGCAAGTGCAATGAACAATAACATAAATAACAATAAATCCTTAAATAATACAAGCTCTTTAGATGACTTCATTTCAACAATAAAATCCAGTACTATCAAAATATCAAAAAGCCATATCCTTTATCAAAATGACAATATCAAACCATTTATCAATAACATTATAACTATAGGAATACACAATGTGTGAGGTATTAATACAATTCTTGATCAACAAAGGCTCTGGAAAAAAATTCAAGAGATGGATATTGATATTCTTGGAATTTGTGAAACAAAACTTGCATTCAGATCTGATGCATATGCTTTCAAATTTCAAGAAACACATAAGTTCTTTCATAGTAGTAATAATAATAGACCTAGAGGTTCTGGAGTAGGTCTTTTAATCAAAAAGGAATATGAAAGAAAGCTAGCATGCATAGACAAGATAGAAGGTCATATAATAGGAGCTAGATTCTTATCTGCGAAAAGTAAACTTACAATTTTTAAAGTTTACTTACCTTCTAATAAAAAAGAAAGTAGACATCTACAACAAATTTTATAAAAGAAAATTCATAAAAAACAGAAAAGAGGCTTCGAAGTAATTGTTATGAAAGACTTTAATGCTGTGATTGATCCTACAACAGATCAGTCCTCTATTAATAACAAGATATATACCAAATACAAAAAAGCTGAAATTGAATTATTTAACTTTTTAGAGGACTGGAATTTCATGGATGTCCAAAGGCTTTAGGAGGAAGAAGGCAATAGTACTTTTACATGGTCAAACAAATTAGTTTATAGCAGAATTGATTATATCTGGGTCACAGCTAAACTGAGTCTTGAAAATCCACAGGATTTCTATAATATACCTATAGAAATTTCAACTAACAGTGACCATACACTTCTAATGGTTCGTTTAATAACTGACAACTTGCTGAAGAAAAAGAAGCAGGAATCACAAAGAACTAAAGGTATTAAAATCCCAAATATTGCTAACTCTACGGATATTCAAAGAAAAAAGTTTAGAACTTGAACAGATACTGTTTTTTCTAATATTAAAGACCAAGTATATATAGAGCCCTCAAATAACTTCAGTGTAGTATAAATACTGGATAAGTCTTGGTACCTATTAGAATTTACTATCATTAAAGGAGCCTTTAAGACTTTAAAAACAAAGAGAGTATATTCTAACTCCAAAAGAAAATCCAAAATTGAGAGTGTCATCCTAGACATGACTTTAATATATATAGAGAAGCTAATAGAATTCATTATTTACTCAAAAAAGCTCAAGCAATATGGGAACCTTCTATTCAGAAAGAGATTTCAATGGCACTCAATAGGCTTCATATCCTAAGTGATAATGCATTCATCCAAGACTATCACCTCCTCAAAATGCTGATGATATTGAAATATAGCTGAAACAAATTATCAAAATAGAATTGACCTTACGTACAATTTGTAAAAAAAAAGAAAAGTCTCTATATCAAAAATCAAATCAAACATGCCCTTGAAATCAAATGTGAGGATCTCAAAAGTAATCAAAAATGAATGCTAAACTATATTCTCAACAGAAAATGATTCAAGATAGTGATTAATAGACTTCTAGTACAAGATAGCAAGGGCTCAACATACATAGCTACGAATCCACAAACCATTAACCAGTAAGTCAAGACCTATTACCAAAAAGCTTTCAAGAAACAAAAATCCAATTTCAAAGACCTAGATTCTGATTGGAAAGCAGAATATCAGTCCAAAGAATGGATCAAATCAGAATGGTACCACTCTCTAACAAAAGAAATTTCAATAGAAGAACTTGACGAAACATTAAGAAGTTTTTCCAACAAAAAGGCATCTGGTCCCTCACAGATTAGTTATGAGATGCTAAAGAATTTAGGTCCAAAAGAAAAAGCTATATTAGTACAGCTTTTTAATATAATCCTAGAAAATGGTCAAATATCCAAGAAATGGAAAAGCAGTAACATATATTCAATACCCAAGCCTAAATCATGGCACTGTGAGCTTGGAAATACTAGACCAATTGAGTTACTAAAAAAAGCAAGACTTTGCTTCACCAAGATAGTAAATAAGCACTTGACAACTATCTTCGCAAAGCATGATATCTTGCAAGGACCAAACTTTGCTGGCCTACAGGGAGAGAGTACTGCTAAACCTATTTGACTTCTGAACAGTATATGTGAAAAGGCTAGAGAAAAAAGAAGAATTATGGGTACTTTTTCAAGACACAGCAAAAGCCTATGACACTATTAGTCTTGAAATGTTAGAAAAGGCAATATTAAGAATTCAAATTCCATTAGTAACAAGACAACTACTCATCAATCTTTTCAAGAACAGAGAATGTCATACTATTCTCCCTACTGGACTTTCTGATTCATTTATAGCAAAAGATAGTATTGATCAAAGAGAAACAATATCTCTATTATTTTGGTGAATTTTTTATGATTCATTGTTCTGCAAAATTCAAAATAAACAGAATTATAGATATACTATGTAAAAGGAGTGGATACCTGACTTTCTTACACTAGAAGTTAAGAAGAAATTATTTATTAGATAAGTGGTCATTGCATATATAGATGATACAACCTGGATAGCTAGATCTAAGCAAGACATGGAAAACATTTTGAAAGAGGCCAGAAAATTTTATATAGCAAATGATTCACAGATTAATAGTGAGAAGTCAATTTTGCTTACAATAAATCAGAATAAGTTAGAAACTGGAATAGTTCATGCTGGTACTGACAGAACAGAAGTCAAGGAAATGAACAAAGATGATCAGACACAATTCCTAGGAATTTTGTTCAGAAGAAGACATAACAACAAGAATACAATTAACTTGTTAAAAGCTGAGATTAGATCTGTATATCTAGCAATCAGTAAAAAAAACTATGACTGAGAAATATGTTAGATATACAATTATACCTCTCTTATGTCACTCTCTCTTAATTCATGCCTCTATTATAGCATATTTATATATTTTTCCATTTTTTTATTATTAATTTTCCTTCTAATAAATTCATTTATTATTTTATAATAATAAAAATATCTCTTGATAAGCACATATTAAATCACATTATTTAAAATATATAATGATAATCTTTTTTTTTTTAATTATTATAATGTCATCTATCAAAAGAACAAGAACAGCTATTAGCAAAAATTTTTAAAAAAAAATATGCTTGTATATAGATAAGCATAAATATATACACAAAATAAAGTAGCAGAATATTTTAATTCACAAATAGAAGGTTTATATATTGATAGAATAACAATTTCAAAAATTTATTCGCAAAAAGAAAAATGGCTTATAATAGATAATGCTCAAATTAACACAAAAGTATTTAGACATTCTCAAGTTCAACATCCTTTATTAGATCAAGCTCTAAAACTTTGGTTAGAATCAGTTATTGCACAAGGATTAGTAATTTCAGAAATACTAATTAAAAAAAAAGCAAATTATTTTGCATAGTTTTTAAGTAGCGATAATAAACCTTTAATATTTTCAAATGGATGGTTAGAAAAATTTAAAAAAAGAAATAATATTCATAACTATAGAATTTGTGGTGAAGCAAATAGTATATCTTTAAATTCTCTTTCTGAAGAACAAATTCAATTACATAAACAATCATCTAAATTTCAATTACAAGATATATTTAATGCAGATGAAATGACATTATTTTATCATATGACACCAAATATTAGCATCTGGTCCTGTAATTGGAAAAAAAAAGGTAAAAGTTTTTTTATTTTTTAATTTTATTAATACGTATATTATTAATATATAATTTATTTATTAGGATAAAACATGAATTACTGTACTTTTTGCTACTAATGCTACTGGTACTGAAAAGCTTAAACCATTAGTAATTGATAAATCAAACAAATTTCATGTATTTAGTGGCATTAATATAAATAGCTTACTTGTAATATATCGATCAAATCCAAAAGCTTGGATGCATAGAGATATCTTTAAAAATTGATTATTTTATCTTAATAATCAATTTAAGATTTAAAAAAGATATTGCACACTTCTTTTAGATAATGCTGGATCCCACTTTAATCCTAATGATAATATTCTATCAAGTGAATCAGATGATAATAATACAATTCAAAATCAGTTGACAAATTTGGAAATTATTTTTTTACCACCAAATATTACTGCCCACCTACAACTGATGGACGCGAGGATTATTCAAAGTTTTAAAAACAAATATAAGCAATATTATTATCAACATATACTTCAACAATGGAAAAATAAAATTGAGATTGAAAAGTAAGTTTTAAGTTTTAATTATTAATGCTATCTATTTTTTTTTAATTATTTATTAAATTTTTAATTATTATAGAAATAAACTTAATATTAAAGAAGTGATTGAATATCTTGTTAAGGCATGGAATAATGTAACAGCAACAACAATTATTAATTGCTGAAATAAAACAAAAATTCTATCTAATTCAGAAAATAGTATAGTTGCAATTGAAAATTATTCAAATCAAGAAAATATTCAGCTATTATTAATTGAATTTCTAATTATAAATGATAACAATATAACAATAATTGTTAATGATTTAAAAACTTATTGTGATGAATTAGATATTAGTCAACCAATGGATATAATTCTTGATGATAATCAAATTATACAGATAGTTTTAGATGAATCTAAAGAACATAATAGCGATTAATCAGAAGAAGAAATTTCATTGGTTTCGATTAAAAAGGAAAAAAATATACTGCAAATTTGAATTAAATATTTTGAACAACAAAATAGTTCAGAATTTGATATTAATGATATAAAAGTTTTTCGTAAATATAAACATGTAATACAAAAAAAATATATAGAAACTATGCAACAAAAAAATATCGATACATATTTTTTATAAATAAATAAATTTATTATTTTCTACTTTTTATTTTTATTTATATTCATTTTTTCTAATCTAAATTACACCAATATATTCATTCATTCATTTTCTACATTAATGATTACAAATTACACGTTCACACAGCACCTCCCCATAAATTTGAATTTTATAATCCACCTTACTTCCAACTGTCTGTTCTTTTCTCTTAGCCTGGTACCTATAAAAAAAAAATCAATCATCAATCCATTCTTTTTCTATAACCCTTCACCTATTTAGTGGAAACACAACTTAAGAGTTTGTTATATGGTTTTTATTTTATTGTTAAGCTTCAAATCCCTATATGCTACCGAATTGCACATATATTTATACATACACTTGTTTACATCTATCCACTATTCTACGCTATTCTAGAAATTCACACTTTTAAATTTCCTTATTATCGATCTCAAACTACACTAATTGCATGATGTGAAGGTATATTATATTGCTACATCCCAATTTCTTCCACAATATTCTCTGCACCTATCTTATACACATTGTGCATAAGACTTACTCCATTTTTTTTATTCATATAGGAATTATTCCTGGGCGAAGATGTATCGATTGGTAATATCTCCCCTAACAGCAATATCGGGCTATGAGGATCATGTGGTAAGTATCACCGATATTCTTCAGGTATCATATTGATACTTCTATTAAATCTTTAAGTAGTTCGAACTATTGGTTCATCAAATCTCAGGATTTTCCTAATTAGTTCATCATACACAGAGTCCGACTTGTTCACCAGAGCTATAGTATATGATATGGACATCATAGAGTCATCAGAATATACCACATCAAGCTTTAGCACAAGATTGTGACAAAGTATACTCATTAGTAGCCGTCTCAATATAGTTAGGTTGTATGCTTTATTCATCTCATTATCAAATGTATTCATTGTCCTTGGGTCACCTATACTGTATTTTCTATAGTTAGATTTCTCGTATCCTGATTAGCCTTGTACCTGCTTCACCAGATTGGGGTATCATCATTGATGACGTATCACGGTACCTCCATGTATGCTAATCCTTTTTCTAGGTTCCGGTCTAGTGATCTTCTTATTGGCGGTGCATATATAATGTGGTTCACATTGTCCAGTTGTAATTTCTCCCACTTGTTTTTTCCAGCATGTCATCATTTTGTTCCTTCACCTCCATCTCTTTTTCTGTGGGTCCCATCTCTGTTGCCCCCTTTTCACCTCGGTTATCAACCCCAAGCTTGTTTTGTCTGATCAATGTAACATCATTGATACTAGTGATATATTGCACCATCTCTATGTTCTCAAATTCTTGGATTCCTATATGCTACCGAATTGCACATGTATTTAATGTAATGGCGTGTCATGTTGCTGTACCTCAATTTTTCCCATGACAGTATCTTCTCATTCTTTTACTTATTTTTTTTGCTTCTATTTCCTTTCCTTGCTTGTTGACACATATATCTCACCTATATTCGCTTCTCTTCTCTATCACTGCAAAAGTCATTCATAATATAATCCGTATTCCTCTAAAGATCAGTAGTTAAAGTATTATTTTTGAGATTGTAAGTTACAAATCAATGGATTTTATAGAAAGATAAACATCTGATCGGCTAATTCAATGAATTACTTAAGTAACTAATCTATATAGTTTAAAATACTTTTTCAAACTATAACATATTGCTATTTTATAAATTTTCTTTCATAATTAGTTTTGTGCAAAATAATAAATTACTTAAAACAGAAATAAGGTGTATAATTACATTTTGCCAATTATCGCCAAAATATTTTGATTAAATTAATTGATCATTATTTGAAGTAAATTAACCAATCACCTGTTTGTCTTAAGTTATAGTCACACCTCCTCCTAATCACACAATTTTGCCTTTCCCGATAGTGTGATATAAGAGAGGTATGACTGTATTATCAATAGAGTTCTAATTTTCTGGATAGAATACTGAACACAGTACACACATATTGAAGAAAAAATATGCAATGAGCTTACGGCAATGTATAAGAAAACTTTCAAGAACAAAGCCCTTATATGTAGTACAATGCCAAATAGTTGTATTCATAATAAAAAGATATTAAATCTTAAGAGTATATGGAAAATTCAACTTGAAAGTCATATAACCTCTCTCTTTTGTCAGTTGAATAACCTTAAAAATCTAGGAATAGCAACAATTATCCGTCTCAAACAGAATCAGCTGAAACATTGGGAGTCTAGAAATATCTTGGAATATCTAACAGAAGCTGCTTTTTTGAAAAAAAATAACTTTGCTACTACCACCCTGACTCTTGCCAATAAACTTCAAATCACATATCAAAGTTGAAGATGGAAAAACCTTTTTCAAGTCAAGAATGGTCTACTTTCTACTAAGTCAATTCTTGAGGAGTGCGACTATAAAAATGCTATAGCATCTCTGAAAAAATACAATATAATGTTCTTGGATCAATTAGTTAACTCAATTATAGAAACAATTAGGGAATGGGGGCAGTTCAAATATTTTTTGGAAATAGAAAAGGACATATTTTCAGATGGTATAAGCAAGTTGTTTCTCAGGTTACAGAAAAACAGAATTTGCTCAGAAGTTCGCTCAGAAATTTAGAATGGTATAATTATGAAATCCGAACAGAACAATTATCAAATACACTGAACAAAAGGAAGACTTACTGGAAAATCCCTACTAATCTATCAAAAAATATAATAGGGAAAGTCAAGAAAGCTCAAGGAAATATAATCATCACTCTATACCAGCTCAGTTATAATAGTACTGATAATTCAATCCTATGTTATCCAGATCTATCCAAGTTGATAACAATAGTTTTATCTTCAGAAATATATCTTTTACCTCAACTTAACAAGTCTAAAAGTACATGGAAAGAAAATCACTATTGCTTCCAAGAAATCCAACAGATTGAATGCCTGACAATTCAAAACAATATAGACCTGACACTTGAAATTTAGCAGCAACATATAAAGAAGTAGTAGTAGAAAACTGGTATATTTCATTAATAGAGCAGGCCATTGGCTCAAAAGAACATATTAGAGAACTTACTGATATTTTTAGATTTAATCTAAACAATGGACATAAAAACTTTACTTTTTACACTGATGGGTTCTTTAAGAAAGAAACAGGAGATGAAACAGAGTGTCAGATGGATTTCACTTGAATTCAGACTCAAGACAATACCATTATCAACCAATTCTCAGCAGGAAGACTACTATGGCCTTCAGCAGCAAGAGCAGAAATACTAGCAATATTGACAGTACTTTACACTCTACTTTAAGATACCAATGTCACTATCTTTACAGATTGCAAAGTAACTATTAAAATATGGAATATCATACAATTACAACCACTTATGTTATTTAGAAAATGGATCAAAATAGCTAACTGGCTACTTTGGATAAGGATAAAAAATCTAGTTAAAAAAAAAGCCTTACTTTAACATTAGAAAAGATCTGTGCACATAAAGAAGACTATTTCAACAATATGGTGGATACACTAGCAAAATTAGCTAAAAAAGAAAATCCAATAGAATAGCAACATACACCAGAAATGTGTGCAATCTTCTCTATAATCACATGGAAAGGCCTGACCATTGACATTGATATCTGGGAATTCATTAAAGAATAGAATCATAGAAAGATTAGCCTTGACTGGAGTAATCAAAGACGAATTCAGAATAGATGGAGTAAAGAGGAAACCAAAATAAACTGGATAGTTTTTTGAAGTCAGTTTAATATTCATCATACATTGCATACATCCTTTAAGAATAACAAGGACAAAAGTTTTTTGGTAAATCTTACTCACAATGAACTTCTGATACTACAGATACTTAAGAAGTGAAAACCAGAAGTTTATAAATTAATCATTTGTATTAGATGTAGAACTTATGAAGAAACAACTGATCACCTATTCTTGTATTCAGCAACAAGCTTTGAAAGACTAGACATCTGAAAAGAAGCAAGTAGGAAGTTGGTCCAATATATTATTGATCAAGTGGAGGTCAAAGATGAAGATTAAGAAGCTATACTTCAAGTAGTTAATATGTGGCTCAATGAGATACAGTAACAGGAACAGAGTCTTTTTAAAATAATATGTGGATATATATATAAAGACAAAAT